GTACGAAGTACGGGACAGCGGTGGAAGGTCGTAACTTGGTGGGAGGGTGGCAGAGGAGTACCAGAGGGAGGAGAGAGGGGAAAGGTAAGGGAGAGGGAGTGGCGGAAAGGAGGAGTTGTCAGGTCCGAAGGTGAGTATCGGAGCAGACGGGGGAAGCATAGGAGGGTGACGGAAGGGTGGAGGTGTTGTGAGGGAGGAGCGGAGTAGGAGGAGGGGGAGTAGTAGGAGGGTGGCGAGAGGGGGGCGTTCGGTCCAAGGGGAATATCGGAGTGGACGGAGATAGGGGAGGAGAGGGAAGGAGGAGCAGAGGTGGCGTGGGGGGGTGAGAGGAGGTGTGTTGCCAGGACCAGGGGTGAGTATCGGGACGGCAGCGGTAAGGTATGACTCCGGAGGTGAAGAGGGTGGAGGTCCGGAAGTCGGGTCGGGGTCGGGTATGCACGGATATGACACCCTCCTTACCTCCTTTCGGACGTACCACAGGTTCTGCCTTATGACCTTCGGTACCACTCCGCTTCAGTCTTCCCTTTCTTCCCGTTCGGACGCCTTCGTTCCGATTCGGATTCCCTTTGTTTCCTTGTGCTTTCGCCCTCCCATTATATATATCGGCGCCTGTACATACTCGTTTTAGACCTTAGTCTGAAATCAACTTGAATTCCCCCAAGAGACTTTCCCTCTGCTAGATCCGAAATTAGGGACCCCCAGGACAACCAGCAATGGCACAGCGCTCCGCCTGAGTCGCTGAGGCCGAGGTCCTTCCACACTAAGTCTCCGATTCCACTCCGGAGTCGTCCGAATCCGCCCGTTCTAACAGACAGCCTAGAACACGTGGCGCAATGCTCCAGCCAAGTCATTGAAGCCAAAGTCCCAACCCCCATGACACCTTGCAACAGAGTAGCTCATTAGCTAAGTGTCCACTCACGCTGCCGTACTCCACTCCGCTTCCCGCAAATACCTTGAATACAGTTTCTGACAGTAAGTGAAAATTCCCACAAATTCTGACTCAAAGGTGACCTTGCAAGCAAGGTAAGTTGGCATTTTCTATAGTGGAGGTCTCCTTATTTCAACGTGTCCAAGTCATGCTCCCTCTTTATCTTAGCCAATGCTTTAATGTAAGGAGTGGTAACCCCACCCCTTAATTCCTATCTTTATTCTATATGTGTCTCATAATAAACATGTATAAACAATGTATATACAATAATGTGGGAATTTGGGAAAAGGGACAGAACTCCTTTTTCTCCCCATCTGTCAGAACCATGCAAATCTTCGCCGATGGTAGCTGTAGGCGACCGAACGTTGCCCGCTAGTGGTAAAGGCGTCCTACACACGACCGAGCTTTAGCGAGGGATAAACCCCACCGATCTCGAGGCCGAGGCTACTTAGGTGAGTGAGCCGGGATTTTGGCTTCAACGACTCGAGGAGGAGCGTTGCGCCTCGTTCTCGATGCGGTCCCGATACTTCAGAAGGTCAGAGGTCTTATGGGGGACAGAGGTAAGCTTAGGGGTTAATTCTAGTTGATTTCGAACTACAGTACAAGCATTAGTTACAAGCTGTATATAAGCACTAGGGAACTGAATAGGGAATAAGTCGCCAGATCTCACGGAGATTGCAGGCGGAGAAAAGAAGGAGGAAAACAAACAAAGAGCACGTGTTCAAGACAGCGAAGGTCAAGCGTGACCTTTGCCGCGAGATAACAAGGTGCGGCGATACATGGGACAACGGGTCGTGGCACTCTGCGCCACTAGGTCGTTCAACGACAAGTAGGAGAGGGGTTGTGGAGAGGTGGCGGGAAGTGGTTAGATGGCGACAGGTGGTGAGCGGAGTGTGCGGGGAGTGTTCGGGCGTGGGAGAGGGTCAGGGAGGAGGTCGTCTGGCTGTCAGGGCACACCCGCCTGACCCGGGCCCACCCGGGCCCACCCGGCCACACCACACCCGCTCCCCGCTGTCTATCCCCCTCCCCCCTCCTTCCTCCCTCTCCTCCCCCTTCTTTTCCCTTTCCTTTCCCCTTTCTTTATTTCATTCTTCTCATCTTCTTCTTCCTGTTTATTTCTTTCTATCTACACGGACCACCTTCCCTTGTATCAATGTACTATTGACCCGTCCGGCCCACACACCCCGGACGGCTTCCCGCTGTGCCCAGCATGCGCGCATGTAGCGGACGCTCTCGGGATCCCCCATGGGGACACCCGGATGCCTGCGGCTGCCTCCGAGGATGACGTGGCACCTGTCATGTGACTCAAGCCGCATGTACATAAATGTACCTGAAGTGGGAACCGAAGAAGTAACCCTTCTTCTCACATTCTCCACTTCAGTCTGAGTGGCCAGGGACCACTGTCCCGGACCGGGCCCGCCAGTACGCACGCCCGCTCCACACCCCGCGACGGCCTCAGTGCCGGGCATTACCCCCGGGCCCTCTCGACCCCGGACGTGTCCCTGACACTGGCCCCAGGGAACGCCGGGTCGTGACACCATCATTGATAATTAAAGCTCCATAGCTCAACTTTATTGATGACCTGAGGATTGAGAACTGGGGTTGGTGTCATATCCCAGAATCCCGACCCCGTGCACTCCCACCACACCACACCTTCCTAACAACTCCACCATCCCCTACACCATGCCTCCCCACTCCCCAAGTCACCTTCCCTCCTGATTGTCTCAGCTCCGGTCTGGTTGCAGCGCACCGAACCTTGGTCACTCCCATCCCGGAAGCTCGTTCCCGAGTCGGAACATTTGGAGACTCCAGATTTGCTCTGATATCCTGACGGACCTCCGACATCCCGTGACATACCCTTAAACCATTCCTCCACCCATTTCATTTATTTGAGTCACCCAACATCCTTCGGATACACAACTCCGCTTTCGGAGTTACCCACATCCTTCAGTGATCTCACCCACGTCATCACTTATTAGTCACCTTCCACTCTCAGCATGACTATCTTCTTCTTATCATTCAGTCGGCTAACCCCCCCTTACCCATTTCTCGTTCCCATTCATTTTCCGGCCTCTTACTCCACCCTCCTTGGTCCAACACCTCAGTTCCCCGTTAAAGATATCGTTCGGTACCTCTCGGTATCATTCGGCACCTTTCGGTGTTGTCCCATTTGTCATTCAGACTTTGACTAAGTCCTTTCCATTTCTCTTTATAAATACCCATAGATTAGAACCTGTAGTTCCTCAGTTCTAATCTCGACTAAAATGCTACCCAAAGTCCCTCTGAGTGAATCCCGTTCCGTTCTACAAGATACCTCAGACATAAGAAATACAAGGACTAACTGAGACATAATGGAGGCACAGCGCTCCCTCCGAGTCGCTGAGGCCGCATCCTTCTTAGAGCCTCTTGTACCATCCAGCAGAACCGGGCTTCCTGGAGAAGCTTCAGTCCACCACCGGAGCTCTTGGATTCCCCCTCTAGTTGAGCCCCACCTGCATTCGGACTCACGCATTTACCCCTACGATCCGGGTTTTTGACAGTTGGAACCTGTCAGGGACTCATCCGGGGTCAAGGGGGTCCGGGTGTAGTGTCCGGGACCGAGAGCCTGGCGGGGGGTGGATCGGGCGTGCGTACTGACAGGCCCGATGCAGGACAGTGGTCCCTGGCCACTTAGACTGAAGTGGAAAGTTGAGAAGAAGGCTACTTCTTCGGTTCCCACTTCAGGTTCGTTTATATACATGCGGCTTGGATCACATGACGGGTGCCACGTCACCCTCGCACACAGCCGTAACCACCTGGGTGTCTCCGTGGGAGATCCCGAGGGCATCCGGTGCAGGCACGCGTGCTGGGCACAGCGGGAAGTCGCCGAGGTGCCTGGGCCGGGTACATGGTGGGCGCGCTGCAGATGGGTCAATTGTACATTGATACAGAGAAAGTCGTCCATGTAGAATAAAGGGAGAATAAAGAAGAAGTAAGATAAGGAGAAACTGAGGAGGGGAGGATGAGGGGGGAAGAAGGGAAAGGGGGAGGAGGTAAGGAAGGGTGGACCGGCGGGGTACCGGGTCAGGTTGGGCCGGGTGGAGCCGGGTCAGGCAGGTGTGCCCTGACAGAACCTACACCAACCCCTTACATTTAACATCACCTGGCCAAGCAATATGTGGTGATATGACTGATGGATACTCGACCTGACCTTCCACTCCAGCCCAGTTAAAATCAATTAGCTCGACTTTGTCATCACTTGCAATCATGACATTTTTCACCAATCCTTCAGACATATTTTTTTGCTTTGCTACAGCAAGCATGTTGCCATTGACACATTCCATGACAATCATGATGATAGACTGATAGGATGGTTCATCCTCATGGAGATGTGGTGATCCGCAATAGAGAAGTTTCGGTGCATAATTATGATCTGCAAGTGTTTGATGTGCACTCCCCCCATAGCGATCAGCAAATTTGACAACAATATCTTGGGGTGGCATCGCCTCAGTCCGTGCGCGAAGAGTGATGCAGCCAGGGACATTTTCTGTTAGAATGCGGGGATTCGGACGACTCCGGAATGGAATCGGAGACTTATCATGGAAGGACCTCAGCCTCAGCGACTCAGGCAGAGCGCTGTGCCATTGCTGGTTGTCCTGGGGGTCCCTAATTTCGGATCTAGCAGAGGGAAAGTCTCTTGGGGGGGAATTCCAGTCGATTTCGGACTGAGGTTACAAGTTACTAGGTACATTGTATATAAGGAGGGGTCCGGAATCAAAAGGAACAAGGGTAGGACAAAAGGAGACAAAGGGAGATGAAAAGAGGAACAACACCGAGGGTCAAGTGTTTGACTCAATGGTGTTTCTCAAAGGAGGAATGAAGGGCCAAGGCCCAAGGAGGAAGGAAGGAGGTTGGGAGTGGGGAATGGCTAGCTGACTGAATAGAAAGGAAGCAGCAGCCCAAATAGGAATGAGGGAGAATAGCGGAATTGAAATGGACAATGCAATAGTTGCAAGGTCCGGAGTAAGTCCGGAAAGTCCGAACTCGGAGGTTAAACTCCGGAATATTGGCAAAGGTAATTAAATGGAATGAGCTAACCAATACAATGGGTATAAGCGGAGGTGGGGTCAAAGTCCGAGGTCGGAGCTAAGACCGGAGGTTCCGGAGACGGAGACGCAAACAGGATTCCGGAGCGGAGGTCCGGAGTCGGGAGCATAGGTGTTGCGTACTCGTCTGGAAGGTGTCGAGGTTGGGGTCAGACCCGGAATGTTCCGGAGTCGGACCGAAGGTGGTGTCCGAGCCGGAGGTGGGATAACCTCTTGGGAGTCGGCAAGGAGAAGGTGATGGAGGGGGAGTAGGGCTCCGGAAGTCGGAGTTCGGAGTTCCGGGAGCCCGGAGCGGAGGTCGGGATTGTATGGATATGACATTTTCCAAGAAGCCAACATATTTGAAATTAGTGCGTCCATCGCCAACAGGGTAAGCAGCAATTGAAGGAAAGTAGTGCAAATCATCGGGAAGATTGCCTGTGTCTAGACCCTCATAATATGACCCAAGTTTCTTCAGACTCGCCTGTAGAGCATTGAAGGCTCGTACAATGCAGGTGATGTGCAATTCATTGAGAACGGAGTCTAATCCAACCCAGATGCAGTCGGTCAGTCGTTGGACAATCGCACCATCAGTGATGACTGTTAGAATGCGGGGATTCGGACGACTCCGGAATGGAATCGGAGACTTATCATGGAAGGACCTTGGCCTCAGCGACTCATGCGGAGCGCTGTGCCATTGCTGGTTGTCCTAGGGGTCCCTAATTTCGGATCTAGCAGAGGGAAAGTCTCTTGGGGGGAATTCAAGTTGATTTCGGACTGAGGTTACAAGTTACTAGGTACATTGTATATAAGGAGGGGTCCGGAATCAAAAGGAACAAGGGTAGGACGAAAGGAGACAAAGGGAGATGGAAAGAGGAACAACACCGAGGGTCAAGTGTTGGACTCAATGGTGTTTCCCAAAGGAGGAATGAAGGGCCAAGGCCCAAGGAGGAAGGAAGGAGGTTGGGAGTGGGGAATGGCTAGCTGACTGAATAGAAAGGAAGCAGCAGCCCAAATAGGAATGAGGGAGAATAGCGGAATTGAAATGGACAATGCAATAGTTGCAAGGTCCGGAATAAGTCCGGAAAGTCCGAACTCGGAGGTTAAACTCCGGAATATTGGCAAAGGTAATTAAATGGAATGAGCTAACCAATACAATGGGTATAAGCGGAGGTGGGGTCAAAGTCCGAGGTCGGAGCTAAGACCGGAGGTTCCGGAGACGGAGACGCCAATGGGATTCCGGAGCGGAGGTCCGGAGTCAGGGACATAGGTGTTGTGTACTCGTCTGGAAGGTGTCGAGGTTGGGGTCGGACCCGGAATGTTCCGGAGTCGGACCGAAGGTGGTGTCCGAGCCGGAGGTGGGATAACCTCTTGGGAGTCGGCAAGGAGAAGGTGACGGAAGGGAAGTAGGGCTCCGGAAGTCGGAGTTCGGAGTTCTGGGAGCCCGGAGCGGAGGTCGGGATTGTATGGATATGACAATGACAGCACCAAGGATTGTGACCCAGGGACCCACGGTGGCCACGAGGAATGTGGGACAGGCAGTAGCATTTCGAAGCATTGCATACTAAGGAAAAACAAATGAACAATCCGAGTGCAATGCAATGGATTGGGCATACCCTGGGCTGAGCCCAACAATGGCCCACAGACAAGCCCGCTGGGTCTGAACCACCATCTCCGAATTCATTTTTATCTTCCTGAAGAATCATGAAGGGTGACCCATGTGTCTCCAATTCCATGACCGTCAGGAGTCGTTTTGTCATCATTCTGAATCGTTTGCATGTTGACTTGAAGGATGTTGCAAAGAAGTGGTCCCAACACCTTGGCGTTTCTTTTCATTTTTATAAATCGCCGTTGCGGCTTTCATGTATCCTACTGTTTCAGGAATAATGTTGTCGAGAGGAGCGTCTCTCTTCTCCATATCGTCCAAGAAATGTCCAAAAGCAGGATGAAATAATTGAACTGGAGGTGCGACGCTCGTCCTGGGCTTGTCTGCCTTGTAGCGGCTGTCATAGATGGAGTATGGAATCTGGGACTTCGTGTAATTTGACAACTTTGCTGAATCAGCAGGAGCCAACGCAGTCAAGATGACGTTTTGAAACCCTGTTAAATGTTATTTATCAAGGATGACAAAAAAGAAAAGAAAACCCGCACTTTCACGCAATGCAGGGATCTGGTCTCTCCTCTCCTGTTCTCGTGCGTCATTAGTACCCAGGCCCTCTGAACAACATCAGTGAGGTTGTCCAAGAAAGACCGAAATCGACTCACCATTAGCTGGTGCTTGAACGACGATATGCAGGTGATTCTCTTCGACGTGGGGGAACATTTGCGAGAGTGGTAGGGAGAACCCCAATGGTGCGAGATTGGCGTTTTGAGTCTTTCTTCAAGGTCACCATCCACGGGTAGGGAGACCCGGCTAAGGTTAAGCTCCAAGGCAGCAACGTGATTGAGGCGAGGGGACTGTTTCTCCTTGATCAAGTCTTTGAGGGTGCTGACACTTTCGGTCTTCAGAATCTTGACCACCAGGTACTGATTCGGCTCCCCATCAACTTGGAGAACGACACAGTTGAGCGAGAGAAGTTGCGCGGGATCAGGAACTCGGTTCACTTTTGAAGGTGCCGAGGTGGAATTAAAATGTAGGAATTGATGGCGTTTGGAGACCATCATCGCATATGCAGATACAAACAGAGAAAGCTTCGCTCAAATGCTCACTGTCATCCTCTGTCTGTGGCTTTCAGCCTGTCACAAAGTCAGGTGTCTACTTATCAGGATGAGTGTTGACGCACCGGGCAACTTGACGAGCAGTGCCTCTCCAGCTGAGATGTTCAAGCCTGCTATTTTCCGACTCGGAAGGAGTTTTTTAACCTCATATTAGAGAATGCCTCGCTGACTAGCTCCTCAAGCATATCATTATCGACGAAATCAGCTGTTGAGTTTGTAAATCTCCACACTTCAAGCTCGAATGCAGCAGTATTGTTAAGGTGAGGCGACGCCTCATCCTTGACCATCTTCTTCAAGTCAGCGACATCGGTCTCGGAAGGTACTTGGACCTTGATCGGCTGTCCAGCAACAGGCCTGCTTTCGTGATCGACGAGGAGGCACCAGACTTCCATGACAGTGAACCAGACACAATAAATTCGGCCAACTCCGTGACAATTACATACAGCTGAGCAAATCTGCAAATTGCAACAACTTTGTGGACCCAGATCGATAGGTCAAATCGTGAGCGGTCCGACAGGTCCCTAGGTGGTGACCTTCTTCACTACAGCAGCCGCTAAGTACTATTGGGGTGCTGCACAATGAACTTAGGCCACCAAGTAGCCAATGGAACATTCAAGCTGCTTCTGACGTTCGACGAGTCCTACCCCAACAAACCCACCACCGATGCCAAATATGCTCCATCCAAACATTTATGCGAACAGAGAGCTTAGTTTGCTTCAGAATCACTGGTCACCTACCCACGATGTCGCTGCAGTACTAACGAGCATCCAAATGTTTGTTTCACGATCCCATTGGTATGGGTTTCGTTAGTTTTGACGCAAACCCTCGTCCAGGTCATCTTATCCTGCACAACACCATTTGAGAGTGATTGATTATGCATGTACAAACAGCCAGCTCTCCTTTAGGGTTCATTGTAAATATATGTGACAAGTTTGGTAGCAATGCGATGGGCTCAGAGTCGACCTCCCCCAAACCCATGTCAAGCCGAGTCAGACATATGCTAAGTTAAGAGTTGATAATGGTGCCAAGGCTAGGATGTTGGATCACCAGAACCCCATAGATGGTCCGAAGCAATGCCCTGAAATGATGACAGAGGAAGCAGACGGAAAGGATGAGACATTTCCTGCTTCGATTTTTGCATGCAGGATCGAAATTTCAGGCAGAGTCAACTGAGCGTGACGATCCAAGCAAGTAAGCAACCTTAGCCACGAGCCATTCAGAAGTGGGGATGGGCATACTTACTGATAAGTCCAAATCCTTCTAATCGACCAGTGGTTCTCCCGAAGTTAACAATCTTGAGCGACATTATTCCGGGCATGAAGACCTGCTGAGTTAAAAGACAAATCGAATGATGGAAGCACTTGGAGATGGAGACAGAGGCAACGACGATCGAGTGAGGGGCATGCCGAGATGTAATGTCCTCAAGTCCCCCTTAAAGGTGATACAAACTGGAATTTGCCAAAGAGACATATTTCCCAGAAAAGGCAACAAGAAACACATGGGAGTGCCAAAAAGTTTACATATGCTTAAAGCCGATCTCCACCTATTAGGCACTGCTACCTGAATTCGCCAAGCTCACTGAGACCGAGGGCCCATAAGGAGAAAGCCGAACAGCTCGTCGACTCGAGTCTAAAGTAATGGGAGGTTGCTGGTTCAAAGTCACTATTGCTTGAAGGAGCAATCTTCGAAGCACCTCGTGTAGATTGGTGTCGCGTGGTGGTTCGATTAGGTATTCATATTCTGGACCGACCTGCACGCCCATGTTATGAAGCAATTCACCAAGAACTGGCCCCAATGCTGGATGAAGCGCACTTTTCCACCAACTCAAAGGGAAAAAGAATAAAGATGCCGACGTGTCGGCGGCACGGTACCTCCTCCCCTTGAGAATACCCTCAAATGTGGCGAAGTGCATTGATGGAGAATCTTCACTCCCTTCAGGCTTTACATGGAGTAGAGTGTCGACAATAACCCAAAAGAGAGACTCGATATCGTGTCGTGGGCGATATAATGGTGGATCTTGCAGCGAATCCAATCGGTGAATGTTGTTGGCATCATAATTCTCCCAACCGGCCTCATATGAGCGAGGGCCAAATAGCATATGGTACGTGTGGAGCGCCTCGCCTTGAAGCTCGGGCATGGGCAGGAATATGTGAGCCTCAGGGGCCCAAGACCTTGACAGAATTGCTCGGGGGGAATACAGTGGGGTTCCCTAGATCCATCGTCATTGAAGAAATACTGATACACTAACACCACGCACACTAAACCGTCTCAGAATTTCTGCTGCTTGATTGTCATCAGGCAAGTAGCGAGCGGCCAAATGCAGATCACCAAGCAGACCCCTAGGCTGATTCCTGAGGCAATTACGGGATTTGAACATCTGCTCACTATTTGGTCAAAGGCGCTCACCTGTTGTCGGGGTCGAGGTATTTGTTTATGAAAGTTGGTTGGTCGGTCGAAGGATTCAGCATGTTCTCAGGAAGAGCAGCTGGGTCCTGGGGCGTTACGCTCTTTACATATATATATATGTTTGAGGGGCTGATGTCACGGTGAACAACTTCACGGCGTTCAACGATATAACGCAACTCTAACGAAATCAATTTCAGCATCAGGTCCTGATAATCAGATGCCTTCGTACCTTCCACAATATCGAAGAATCCTGCAAGTAGATCCAAAACAGTCCTCCCTTTCGAGATTGGCGCACCAGTGTCCAGGTAGAACATTGCAGAACTTCTTCGGGAGGTTACTTGTTCATGCGTTTCATCGGCATTCCATTGGTTCAATTCATCCGAGTCCCAGAAGCTAACGTCGATAGTAATGGGTTCCCCATGGACCTCAACGCCTCGAACAACGCCTCGAACATAGCCATCCCTGTGGATATGGTTGAGCATCTCCATTTCGTGGTGAACCGGATCCCCTCCATCCGGTCGACCCATAACTTGTTTGTAAATGATGGGGGCACCTTGGGCTACGGGAGGGTCCACCTGCGCATACACGCGCGTACAGCGAGTGTGAGGAATTCCAGAAAAAATGCAGCGATAGAGTCCGTCTAAGTCATCAATACTCCATAAAGGGCTACAGGCACTACTGCGTGGCGTCAAGTTCTCAGTGTCAATGGTGTTATCTGACAACAAGAGAAAGCCAGCACGAGTTGCATTGGGAGATGACATAATGTGCGACGGGGGTGCATTATAGAGGGACGCGACGTATTTTATGAGGGCTTGGGGCTTCGAGTAGGACTGTCGCGGTGATCGGTATGCAGCAACTGGGTCGCTCCAGATGACATAATAATGTGTTTTCCCAGCGTAAAGCCCGTATACACACGGCTTGTCCAATCGAACGTGGTGTATGCTAGTGGCGTAGAGAGCCGCCTGCTTCAAGCCTTTTTCTTCAGCCGTACCTTCAGAAACAACTTCGATGCAGGTCTCCACTTGTGAATAAGAAAAACGAATATAATTCCCTGTTCTGGACCTGTTAGAATCCTGCAGGCGATAGTCATCGAATATGGGCTGGAATGTTCCAAGGATGTCTGGTCTCTCCGAGACATTTAATGCCGCCCAGGGATGGTGTGTGACCGCCCCGTGCTCGTGAACGAAAAAGCGGATGCGATCTCCCGGCGGGACCTCAGGAAGATAGGCTGAGTAGACCCTCAGTAAAAGTTGATGAACGCCACGGATTTTAACATACTCCCTACACTGTCACTGATGCCATTTAAGACTTCGGTCAACCGTTTGGCTGCAACGTTGCCACTGAGTCCTTGGATCGCGGTACGGATTGCATCAAAATTAGGCAGGTTTTGAGTCACCATCTGGGAGAGGTGCCGATCCACAAAGTCTTCGACTTTGAAGGGCCCCTTGATGTCTTCTGCACGGGACTTCCGTGCGAGGGCCTCATCGAAAGGCCTTGCCGATGGCATTAGGGGATGGAGTTGTAATGGAACCGGCTAATTCCGTTTCTAGAACGCCGTACTGCCGTTTTCCATTCAATAGTCCACGTGACGAATTTCGGTTCCGCGCTCGCTTGTTGCGCGAAGGCAAGCCCGGCAAAGAACAGCTCATATCTCTGCAACCAGATGAGCTAGGGACTTGCGGTTTCTTTTAAAATGCATGTATTTTACTCCTACAGATTAATTAGCCACCGATAATCCTAATTCTCGTTTTTTATAAATTCACATTTGTCACAATCCCCCCCATTTTTCTCAACAACGGCTGGATGGAAAGAGGTGAAAATTAGGCAGTAGGTAGTTCTTGTAAATATCTCGAACCCATCTTTTTTCCTAATTGATAGGACTTTTTCTCATTTCTTAATCAGGTTATGTGCCATTCCGGTGACTCACACAGTCCCCCCCACTTTCCTCAACAACTACTGAGTGAAACAGGATAAAAGTCGCGCAGTGAGTAGTTCTTCCATATGTCTCAAACACATTTTTTTTTCTAATTGATAAGATTTCTTTTCGTTTTTTAATTAGGGTGGGTGTTCAAGACCATGCTCAATGTAGCTTGACACCATCCCCCCTGATTTCCTCGACAATGGGAGGGTGCAGCGCAGTGAAAGTCAGACAGTAAATTCTTCTGGTATTTATCTCAAACCCATTTTTTTTTCTAATCGATAGGATTTTTTTTCGTTTTTTAACTTTCATCCCATTCCACCATCCATTGTTGAGGAAAAGCCATCAAACCTGAGGTGAGCCCGCAATGAAGACAGAACCCAATTAAAAAACGAAAGAAAATCCTGTTGATTAGAAAAAAAAATGGGTTTGAGATAAATACCAGAAAAACTTACTGTCTGACTTTCACTGCACTGCACCCTCCCGTTGTCGAGGAAATCAGGGGGGACGGTGTCAAGCTACATTGAGCATGGTCTTGAACACCCACCCTAATTAAAAAACGAAAAGAAATCTTATCAATTAGAAAAAAAAATGTGTTTGAGACATATGGAAAAACTACTCACTGCGCGACTTTTATCCTGTTTCACTCAGTAGTTGTTGAGGAAAGTGGGGGGACTGTGTGAGTCACCAGAATGGCACATAACCTGATTAAGAAACGAGAAAAAGTCCTATCAATTAGAAAAAAAAATGGGTTCGAGATATTTACAAGAACTACCTACTGCCTAATTTTCACCTCTTTCCATCCAGCCGTTGTTGAGAAAAATGGGGGGGATTGTGACAAATGTGAATTTATAAAAAACGAGAATTAGGATTATCGGTGGCTAATTAATCTGTAGGAGTAAAATACATGCATTTTAAAAGAAACCACAAGTCCCTTGCTCATCTGGTTGCAGAGATATGAGCTGTTCTTTGCCAGGTGTTAGAACAGGTGGATTCGGACGACTCCGGAGTGGAATTGGAGACTTAGCATGGAAGGACCTCGGCCTCAGTGACTCAGGTGGAGCGCTGTGCCATTGCTGGTTGTCCTGGGGGTCCCTAATTTCGGATCTAGCAGAGGGAAAGTCTCTTGGGGGCATTCAAGTTGATTTCGGACTGAGGTTACAAGTTACTAGGTACATTGTATATAAGGAGGGGTCCGGAATCAAAAGGAACAAGGGTAGGACGAAAGGAGACAAAGAGAGATGGAAAGAGGAACAACACCGAGGGTCAAGTGTTTGACTCAATGGTGTTTAGGAATGAAGGGCCAAGGCCCAAGCAGGAAGGAAGGAGGATGGGAGTGGGGAATGGCCAGCTGACTGAATAGAAAGGAAGCAGCAGCCCAAATAGGAATGAGGGAGAATAGCGGAATTGAATAGGACAATGCAATAGTTGCAAGGTCCGAGGTAAGTCCGGAAAGTCCAAACTCAGAAGTTAAACTCCGGAATATTGGCAAACATAATTAAATGGAATGAGCTAACCAATACAATGGGTATAAGCGGAGGTGGGGTCAAAGTCCGAGGTTGGAGCTAAGACCGGAGGTTCCGGAGATGGAGATGCCAACGGGGTTCCAGAGTGGAGGTCTGGAGTCAGGAACATAGGTGTTGCGTGCTCATCTGGAAGGTGTCAAGGTTGAGGTCGAACCCAGAATGTTCTGGAGTCGGACCGAAGGTGGTGTTGGAGCCACAGGTGGGATAACCTCTTGGAAGTCAGCAAGGAGGAGGTGGCAGAAGGGAAGTAGGACTCTGGAAGTCAGGTTCGGAGTTCCGGGAGCCTGGAGCGGAGGTTGGGATTGTACGGATATGACAGTATCCCCTTCTTAGGCCTGAACCCTTGAAGGCCTTAGAATCGGGGGCTGAATATTCCGACTAGAATAGCGACAGAGGGAGTAGGAGAACACAGGAGTGAGATGAAGGCTGCCAGGTGTTAGCAAGCTTTCATCGATCAGCTCAGGAAGATTGGCGAGGGTGTTCAACCAACGAGAGATGGAGGAGAAGGGAGGTCCGGAAGAGTCTGGAGGCCGGTGGAGTCAAAGTCCCGAAGAACTTGACAAGGAACTGAAGGCGATGTTGAAGACTCGGAGAAGCGGAGTCGGATCCAGACATGGAGGAGACTCGATCGGAAGTAGGAATGGAGTTAGAGCAAGAGGGTAAGCTCAGAGAAGGAAGGGAAGAAGTGGAGCCAAGTGGATGCGGTTCATCCCTTGTCTGAGAAAGAAAACTTCAACCTTCCTAACCATAACTTCCTAAGAGTGGCAGGTCCGGAGGTCGTGGCGGAAAATCCAGAGCACGCTCTGTTCCAAGACCAAGCTTTGGTGGGTTGGGAGGTCCTCAAGGAATGGAGGAATCCAGGGGTGACACAATGGAGGCCGGATGGGCAACTCACAAAGTGTGTTGGAGGGACCGAAGGTCCATGTGATGATACAAGGAGGACCGAAGTCGGCTCCGAAGTATCCGAAGGAACGGAGTGAAGGAGTTCCCAATTGCGACAACAATCTCAAGGATGGGATTGTGCTGTGCATGGTACAACTCAGTCACAGAAAGGAATGATGGTGTGAGACAAGGTCCGTGGAGTTCCAAAGAACATGCGGGACTGGAGCTCGCTCAGAAGAAGGAGGGGAGGTCGGAGAACAAATCGGGATCCCTTTCGGAGTTGACATGGGGGGGAACTCAAGATTGACAGCACAAGGGGTGGAGTTCCACAGGTGTATGGGGAGCAAGCCGAAGGCTTGAGAAGGAGTACCTTGGCATGGTATGGAAGGTCCGGAGGTCCGGAGCGGAAACTCGAGGTACCAGCCAGGTAAGGTTTGTCGAAGGTGGGAGAGAGTGTATCATAAGACACAGAATCGGGGGTAGTCGATGTCAGGAGGAAGAGTATGGTTGCCCACCTGAATGGGTCTTATGCATCGATGGAGTCACGATTGTCGGAAATGATGAAGGTCCGAGGGTGTGCAAGGCACAGGATGACGAAAAGGAAGTTGGGTATGATGTTGGGGTGCAGTGTTTTCGGCATCGGAGGTAGAGCTAGCTCAGGGAACTTGAGCAGCTAGGGTTGTCTGTAGGGATGATGCGAAAATACTCCTAGTGGAGACCGATGTATAGCGCTGAGGTAGATAGAAGCAGAGTCCATATCCCCTTCTTAGGATTAGACGTCCCAGCATCTAATCGACACTACAGGCTAAAGTCGGATCATCCGGAAGCGGGAGCGGAACATCATAGGGAAAGGTGGAAGAGAGGAGTGTGGAGTAACCGGAGGGTTCCGTAATACTTCCAAGGAGATGTGGGAGGGCGAAGATCGTGGTAGCCATCGTCCAGAGAACTCTCGGAGGTGAGCCCGAAGGCAGAGAGAGTAGGTGGAGTAGAGATGTGTGCATACCATGTGCAAAGGTTAGATAATAACCGGTAGCAAGCTTTGGTGAAGCATACAAGGTACCAATGGGGTAGGAGTCTTCCTGTCAGGGGACGACTCCCGGGTCCCCATGACCCTCCCCTATGGTCCACAGCCTGACCTATGAACAGCCCTATCCAGGGCAACAACTACTGTGGGTCAGTGTCAGGGCACACCTGCCTGACCCGGCCCCACCCGGCCCCACTTCACCCGGTACCCCGCCACACGGCCTTCCCCTACCTCCTCCCCCCTCTCCTTTCTTTCCTTCTTTCTCCATTCCACTCCCTCTTTACTTATTTCACCTTCTCTTTATTTTCTCCTTATTCTACATGGACGACTTTTCCTTGTATCAATGTACCATTGACCCACCCGCAGCGCGCTCACGACATGCCCAGCCCGGGCGCCTCGGGCGACCCCCGCTATCTCCAGCTCGCGCATTCACAGCGGACGCCCCCGGGATCCCCCACGGGGACACCCGGGTGACTATGGCTGTACGCGAGGATGACGTGGCACCCGTCATGTGACCTAAGCCGCATGTATATAAACATACCTGAAGTGGGAACCGAAGAAGTAGCCTTCTTCTCATCCTTTCCCACTTCAGTCTAAGTGGCCAGGGACTGCCTCCTGAGCCGGGCCCGCCAGTACGCAAGCCCGCTCCACCCCCCACGAGACTTCCAGTGTCGGGCGTCTCACCCAGGCCCCCTCTACCCCGGATGCGTCCCTGACAGCAGAAGAAGGCTTCAACCTCGTCTCCCCTATCCCCCCTCCCTCCCCTGCCATGGTAACCGAAGAGCAGTACGATGACCTGCTGGCCCGGTTCCAAGAACTACAGGCCATCATCGAAAACCAGGTCTTGAACCAGCCGGCACCCGCCCCCTCGCCGGCACCCACACCTGCCCCTGCACCCCCACCCGCGCCCAGACCCAAGGGGCCTAAGGTTGCCCCCCACTGCCTTCTCCAGAGCCAGCGAGGACCTTGACTGTTTCAAGGCCGAATGCGGCATCTATTTCCACGTCCACGCGGCCGAGTTCCCCACCCCCCTCTCTCAGATCCTCTTTGTGTTGTCCTACATGAAGGGGGGGACCACAGGAGCGTGGGCGACCCAGCGTACCATCGCGCTGCTAACGGCAAACTCTCCCACCCTCACCATGGATGAGTTCAACACG